TCGATTTTTTCAGCTTCTATTGCAGGTATAACAAGAAAACAAGCCTAGGCTCTGATACCACTGTTGGGTTTTGAGCATTCTAACACTCCTAAGTGTACATGCAACCCTAAATACCTTGGATCTATGTTTTCTCTATTATACATGCAAATATGAACATCCAAGGTATTATCCTAATCTAGCATACAAAATAATGGATATAACAAGATAGAATACATACCTCTTTGATAGTGCTTGTCTTCATGAAGCTTGAGTGCTTAGTGCCCCAAGTGTGACACCTCAAATGGTTCACACAACACCATAAGCACTTGGAATAACTTAGAGAGAAATTAGAACACTTCATGAAATCGTGTAGCCCTCATACATACACATAGTGTTAGTCATAGTCACGATTTCTTGAGCCATGGGTTTCTTTTATATGGTGGCTATTAGGGTTACACCATGTAACTCATGACTTTACCCATTCCTTATGCTCCATGGGTTTTAAGCTCCATGGAGTATCCATGGGTCACCCCATGGACTTAGTTCAACATAAGGAATCTTGGATCACAAGCCCACATATATAAGAATGAATGATTTACACAATCAACCCATATATTTAATTAGTTATCTTTTGACCACTTAATTAATCCTAGATTAATTCTTGATCAATACTAATTAAATAACCTTATTAATATATTAGAACTTATAATATATTAACAAACCTTAAGTGTTATTTCTCTCATTTTATTCTATCCAAGTGCATGATGCCATGCAACCCAAATGGACCATGCCGGGTCGGGTCAAGTCTTACCAATTATAGTTATGGACTTAGACATTAATCCAACCGTATGTGCTATGATCTGTTAGATGACATCCTGGTAGATATTATTTTGCTATGTGGTATGATCCATTAGATCAGTTGTTATTTATAGGTTGTTATGTGATTATCTGTTATGTATATAAGTGCATATATTTTATTGGTGGTTGAGGCTCATCTTCTTTGTGCGACAGACAATACACCTGGGCATTCTAACCTATTGGTTGTGGGCCGTGAGTATTCCATCCCGAGGATGATCGGACTCATAGTATGTGGGCATTGTAACCTATCGGTTGTGGGCCTGGGCTATTCCATCCGGAGGATGATTGGACCCATAGTATGTGGCCATTCCAATCTATTGGCTGTGCGCCTGGGGTATTCCAACCCAATGGTTGATTGGACCCTTAGTATGATGTGTGTGATTCTATGTGTATTGCTATGAGTATGGGTATTTTAGGGGAACTCACTAAGCTTTCGGGCTTGTAGTTTTAGTTTATTGTTTCAGGTACATTGGGGGATCACAGAAAGGCAAAGGTATGACCGTACAGCTCCTCACCTTTTGTTATGGTTTCTGGAAAAACACTGATATATACTATTTTGGAAACAAAGTTGTAATAACTATTGATTTTAAAAGGTTTTGAAAAGCTTAAATTTGGCGTAAATTTTATGGGTTTTACAAGAGTAATCCTTTTTATCAACAATTTCCACAAGTTCTCTTACCACCTAACTCTAACGACTTGGTGATCTACTAATCGAGTCCATACTTCGAGTCCTGACATCAACAATTCCGAAGCTAAAAGTGACTGCTACACGACCGATGGTAGCCTTATATTTCAAACGGAATTAAACAGAACATTGCTTCCTTGATCTCATAACTGTAGTGATGATCCCACTATCTCATTACTGGCTCAAACAAGTGTAATTCATCTGGAGAAATCTATAACCAATCTTTGGATTTGACACACCTTCATTGCTACAGCCGAACTAGTGGGTACTATTGTTCTTCTCGTTATATGCCATCACCCCCATACTACCTGCCAACCTAGTGAAATCTATGCCAACCATCACAGGTTTACAACACTCTAATGCAATATGAAAACTTGGTGAGTGCTACGGCTGCACCCGCAGACTTACAACCTTCTAACACTATTTGGCTGCTAGTGAATGCTACGACTACACCAACAGATTTACAACACTTTAACACTATATGGTTGCTAGTGAAAGCTACGACTACACCAGCATACTTACAACACTATAACACTATATGGTTGCTAGTGAATGCTACAACTACACTCGCAGACTTACAACACTCTGTTGGGTGCAAAGTTATTCATGGTTGACTTTGTAAATGTTTGACTTTTGTAAAACCCACTTGCATGTGGTGTATTATCCTTTTGACACATGTGTTAGTGAGAGTGAGAGAGAGACATGTAAACACCTCTATATAAGGTGGGTTTATCCACTTGTAGAGGTGTTCTTGAGGGATGTAAAAGTTGAATGTGTAAGTGTGTGTTATTTAGGTAGTCTAGATCTAGATCCTTTTTGTAACACCATATATAATAAATACATCTCTTGATCTCCCAAATTGACATGTTCAATTGTGTAAACTTTAATTCCCCATGCCAAACCATGTTCTTTGTCACTACAAATGGTATTAGAGCGGGTCTTCAAGATCAAGGTGATTTTTAAAGAACGATTCTCAGTTTGGCAACTTTTGTTGCAATTTGAACAATTTTGATGAGTCTCTCTCTCTCTCTCTCTATGATCTCTCTTAATCTCATTGAATCGTGCGTTGCATTTTTTATTTGTGATCATTTGACTCGTTGGATCAAATTTTTCATGAAAAACCCACTTGTTATGATCCAATAAATTTTTCGTTGATCAAGCCCGATCCAATCTCATATTCATTTGGTTGATTCTATTCTAAATTTGTAAATGTTCATTTGAATCAAAATTTGGACCAAAAACAATCAATTCCAGTTTACTATTCATTAAAACGTTATCTTGAGACTAAAAATTAATTTTATCAGGATCTGTTACTGTTCATCATTAATTTGTATTTTGAGCCCAATCTAATAAATCAATTTGTGTTCATTCATCGGAATACGAAGCCCAGTCCAAACTGATTTGTTTCTTTTCACACACTCGGTTAGATACTTTGTTCTCATCCGATCTAAATTTGTTTTCTATCTTATTCAGCGATGTATCAATCTAAATCGTTTGAGTCAAATATTTTCAAATTTGCAAATTGATAAATCTTATCGAACAATTTGTGTTTATTTTTATCGATCTATTCTTCATTCACATTTGCTAAATTCATTCTGATTTCACGAGACTGAAAACGAAGGTCTAAAGAAGATGATGTATTAGAGTCGATGACTTGTGTTAATGTTGGTTTTTGATTCATAATAGCAATTTTAGTTAATATTGTTGTTTTTGATTTTGGATGTTGATTACCGGGTTTGAGATGCTTTCGAAGTTAATGGTCGACTGATTGTGGATGAGATTTCAAAGATTGAGAGTCCCAGTATTTAATATTGATCGATTGAAATGGAATCGAAAAATGGGGTCAATTGTGTAATTTTGGTTATGTCAATATCTCTTCAAGGGAATAGTTGGTGTTAGGAATTGAATGGTTGATTTGTAAAATCGACTCGAATGATGGTTGATAGTGAACAAAGAACGAAAATCAACATTGGAACGAATATGATGTTCTTTTTTTTGATTTTGATGTCGATATTGGGTTAGGTATTGAAGTCAAAATCACTGTTTGTTTGATCAAAAATCTAATTTGGTAATTTGATTTTGGATGGGGAATCGCTGATTTGATAATTGATACAGTGAAATAGATGATCGAAACTTAGAGTGGAATTTAACTTTGACTCATTTCAAAAAGAAGAATCGGTATCGAACTGGATTGGATTTTGATTTCAGTGATTTTGGAGTTCGAATCAATGATTTGGGATCTATATCTGTGAATCAAAGGCTTGAGTTCCGTGATGAATTGTTGATGTTTGGGTTATACAAGGGTATTTGAAATTTATAGGAAGGTTGGTTAAATGAACGAAGGGGTGTTTGTGATTTTCATTCGAAGAGTGCTTGTTTTGAAAAAAAAAATCATACGAAGAAGTTACTATTCATAGGTGAGGCTTCGTATACTTCGTATGAATTGAAAGAAAATGGAAAGTTTTGAATTTTACCCTTGAACCTTCAAATTTTTCACTTCGAAAATTAACTCAAGTTTCGTATGTTTGACACATTTCACCCAAATTCGAAAATTTTGGAGCTTCGTATATTTT